GCTGGTGGCTTACCGGTATCTTCACATGCTGCTGGTCATGGCGGCAGCTGCAGTGTCTCTCTGTGTCAGCCTTCCACTTCCCAGAATTCTCCTCTCTCCTTGTCCCACCTACTTCCTGCCTGGCCACTGGCCAACCAGTGTTTTATTTATTGACCAATCAGAGCAATTTGACATACAGACCATCCCACAGCACTCTAGGATGAAAATAGTCCAAAACCGCAACTGGAAGGCCATGGAGGTTGCTTTGACTGAAATGATGCAGTTGGTAGAGAACTAAAACATACTCATATCAAGCAATAGGGCAGTCAACTCAGTGACCAAAAGGCTAAGGATGCAGCTACAGCTACGGCATGGTGTAGGAGTTCTACCCTTGGAGAGCTTTCTGTATGCCGTTTCTCTGGGCTTAATCCCGCTTCCCTCTCCCTCCCCCTGAAGTAGGCTCTACTGTATGGATGCCATTTTTGTCCACAGGCTGTTATCCAATCGCATTGGTTCACACAGATGGAGTGTCTGCTTCACCAGCATTTGTCAGAAAACATCTTAGGTATGAATGTCATCAACCAAATGAAGTCATGTGTCTGTACCTGAACCTCTTGTAGTAGGGCGGCTTGAATGAGGAATGTCCCCCCATAGACATTTAGTCTCCACTTGGTGGTACTATTTGGAGAGGTTATGGAGCCATAAATATGTAAGTGCCAAGAATACAAACTCTAGTCCCCACACTTGCACAGCAAACCCTTTACACACTGAGACTCTCCCCAGCCCCAAGCACTCATTGTTCTTAAAAGAGGCTATAGATTAAGAGAAGGGATGAAAAGGAGTTTAAATCCACCATGTAGTAGGAGCCATTTGACTGCAATCCATTTCCAGGGTGAAGTTTCAGCATGCAGGGGATGCTGCTTGGCAGGCAATCGGTTCTTGATGAAGGATCCTCACCAGGTTTTATTTACTAGGTGAGTAGGTCTCCTAGTGCTTTGTTGACTCAGAATGCTAGGATTCTCTTCTGCAGGCCTCCTTTAATTCCAGGTTTTGTTACATTCAGTGCTTACCTTTCCCTGCTCCCAACAGATTTTCCTTTTCAAGCTTTTCTTCTCTGGTGCTCTACTTTATTGTAAAATAGCTTTCTTCTTAAGAATCAGGGCTACTACATTGCCTAAATTTTTTTGTAGTGAAGGATGCTAGTTTCTCAATTTTTCTATTTTAAGGAATACTTGAACCATATGTGGCTTTCCCTTTGAGCTGTTTTCACGGGCTTTAGCATGAAGCATTATTTGACCCTCCCCCACCACCCCTGTCCTGCCCTCCCTCTTTCCCTTTTCTTCTCCCTCCCTTTCCTCATTCTCTCCCTCTCCCTCTTTCCTCATTCCCCTCCCCTCCCCTGCCTTCCCCTCTTCCCTTCCTACTCTCTTCTTCTCTATCTCCACCCTCCACCCTTCCTTCAGTGTGTGCCCCACCTACAACTCTCCTCCCCTCTGCACCCACCATGTCATCTTCTCTGGTTCTTTTTCCTTTTTCTGTACTTCTGGAATGAACTGGCAGTCAGGTTGTCTTTAAGACACACTCTATGCGAGCGTTTCTCATGTTCCTTGAGTTCAGTCACAGCCCGAGACTGTCAGCCTGTGGAACTGCTCCCTTGTGGAAATATGTGTTTCCAAATTTCAGCTTTCCATTTCCAATGCCCTCAATGTTCAGTCATCCCCTGAACTGAAGCAGGCTGAGGAGGAGTCTGAATCCAGGTAGGTCATGACTCCTCCCTGCTTCCCTCTAAGAGTGTGTAGATCATTTTCCTACTGACTGGAGGGATGGGCAGCCATGGAAACAATGAATGGAGGGAGGAAGAGCTTCCTCAGAGGGAGTGAGCTTCTGTTGCTGTGGCTGCCCCAGAGACAGAAGGAGGACTAAGGTAAGAGCAGACAAAGGAAAGAGGAAAGAGCCAGGGAGTCAAGATGGGGTCAGGGTGAGTGAGGGCACTGAGAGTTGCTGTCAAGGGACACCCTTGGAAACAAGGGTGCAGGGTGCTGAGGACCAGGCTGAGATTTTCTGTGGAAACTTTGGAACAATATTTCCTTTCCTATGGGGTATATTGGCCAGATCCTACTCTGCTCATTGCTGCCCAAAGATTTCGCTGCAGCCCCTTTCCTGGGACATTGCCTGGAGCTAATTACATCTCCTATTCTCCACAGCCCAAGATTGGCTCAAGGTGGGATCAAAAGGTGGGAAAGTTTGGGAAACACAGGAAGGGAAAAGAGCCCCTCATCCCTGCTGGCTGACAGGCAGGAACTTCTAGCCTGTCCTTGTGGCACAGGCCTGTAGTCCCAGGTAGAGGCTGAGGCAAGAAGTAAAGCCCAGCTTGGGCCACTTAACCAGACCCTGTCTCAGATAAAAAATAAAATGACAAAGAGAGCAGGGGACACAGCTTAGTCGTGGTGCCTTTGTCTAGCTTGTGCTGGACCCTAGGTTCAAGCCCCAGGACAGAAAATACAAAACAAAAAAGAATTTCAGCAAAACTAACAAAAGCAGCAAAAATCACTGTGAAGATTTTTTTAAATTCCTTTTGTGAGTTACATCAAGAAAAAATGTTAAAATAGCAACAAGCCGTATTTAAGGTCAAAACACAGGATAGCCCTTGAGTTTGACCTTCCTCCCTTTTCATCTATAAACTTGTCATTTTCTGAGAAGCTAATCAACAAAATTATAAACCAAGACTATAGGCAAAACATGCCTTGACCTCCTTCTGACCTATGGATAGTAAGAATTCCTTTGACCCTGTTTTTTTTTTAATATTTACTTTTTAATTTTTATTTATGTGAGAATGAGTGTAATGCCATATGTATGCAGGTACTCATAGAGGTCAGAAGAGGGCATGATATCCCTAGGGATTGGAGTCACAGGCGGTTGTGAGACCACTGACATGGATGCTGGGAACCGAACTTGGGTCCTCTGCAGGAGCCTCAAGTACTCTTAATTAGTAAGCCATCTCTTCAGCCCTGATCTATGTTTCTTACTTATCTTGTCAGCCTGTAAACCTGCACAGTGTGCCTTATAAACTCCTTATAATCTAATTGACTAATGAAAATGTAATTAGGAGTTTTTTGTAATCTTTATTTTGTGTAATCTTTTATAGCCTTTGAACACAGTAACTTCAAAAGCCACCAAAATCATATAGTTCTGTTAGGATATTCATACTTAACTGAGAATCTCTCTTGAAGCTTGTACCTGCCCTTCATTGTGTACAGCTGCCCTTTCATTAGGCCTTGTATCCACTTCCTTTTCTGAAGTATTTTGCATTGAATATAGGGCTTTATGCATGCCAGCAAGTGCTCTGCTACTGAACTATGTATGTACACACACACACACACACACACACACACACACACACACACACACACACACACACAATTTTCTTAAAATTTTGAGATGGAGTCTTACTAAGTTGCCTAGGCTGCATTTGAACTTGTGTTCCTCCTGCCTCACCCTCATGAATACCTGGCATTACAGGCCTGGGCTACCAGACCCAACCCAACATTTTCTTAACAAATTCCAACTTTGCTTCATAGAGTCTTATCCTGAATTCTTTTCTGTGTCTTCAATGAAGTCAGGAAACACCTGAATGAGTTCTCAGGAGAGCATCTCCATGCTGCCAAGGGGATCATGAAGACTGGTCACATTCTTGAGAAGCTGACTTTCCGCAAAGCCTCCCAAAGGTATGTGTGTAAGCTGAGAAGGGCTAGTGTTGCATCTTAGTCCATGCGGTGAGGATTGGGTGGGAGGATGCCCAAGAAATTTGCAAAGATCTGGGAGAGGCACTGGACTCACACAGAGGACAGAGTTGGACTTCTTTAGGCCAGTCTTATGTAAACTTGGTGAGTGAGTGAGAGCCCCCAGCCTTCTGCTCCCCCCATCAGGCAACTTGTCTAAAGTCTTCCAGTAAGAGGCTAACCTGAGACCTACCGGAAGCTGGATGGTAAATGGATGATTGAATCACCAGGCTGGGCTGTTGACTCCCTCTTTTCTCCAGGCCTCAGGCTACATCAATACTTAGGCTTAAGGAGGTCCCTAAGATGCCCACTTTGTTGTAAATTAGCATGTTGGTTGATAGCTGAGGCACAGAGTGAGCCTGGGATTAGGACTCTTGGGCAGGCATATCTTACTGAGCAGGCTTTCTTTAAGGACTACCTCTGCTTCTGAGGATGTTACACTTCCTATAACTTGTCACAGCACCCTCCTTTGCTTAGGAAGCAAACTCTTTTTTTCAATGCTAAGCTTTCTCCAGGCCTATGGGATTAGTGCATGATTCAGATTAATGGGGTCCAAATTAATGTGATTTATCGTCATGGCTTTCACAAGCTGTACTCTACTTTTTCGGCAACTTATTTTATTTTATTTTGTTTTCAGGACCTAAATGTAGGACACTTGGAGTAAGAAAATATGCCTCCTCGGTTATGCCTGTAAACATACGAACACTTTACAAAGTTTTGGAAAGCACACAGAACAGCTCTATCAGAGTTGACAGCTCCAGGTGATTGTTGCCACCCTGATTTGGGGTGTAAAATGTCACACTTGAGCAAAACTCAAGCATTTCAGTTCCTTCAATAGATGGTACATGGAAAGCCCCCAAATACTGAGTGTCCCTCTGGCTTTGAAAGAATAAGACAGCAGGTTGTCTGCATGTTTCTGGTGTGACTGGTTCACAGAACTTGCCACTGTGTTGATGCCACCAGCAAGATTTCCACGCAACAAACATGAATAGCCTACCATCATTTCCCTTCTGAGGGTTTGTGAACACTGATTAACATTCCAGTGTGGGTTACCTTTCAGCTTCCACATTCCCAGTCAAATATATGGTCTTCTGAGGCCTGGGGCAAGCCCGCTGAGGAGTTAAGGATCTTTACACTTGTTTTTATTTCTAGGCTAATATGGCATCAGAAAGAGGTTTCTACATCATTGGCTCCACAGGGGGGCTGGTACTGCCCCTCACCCACTCCTCAGGAAACTCTTTCACAGTGCCATCTAGTTCTAAATGATTATGTAATTACATTTGTGAATGTAATCCTGCAGGGCATTATTCTAATTATAGCCTACAATCCCTTTCAGCTACACTCAGAGAAATAAGTTGTGCAATGCAATGGGACTCCTCCAGCTGCTGCAGTGTCTAGAACCTGGGCACACAGTCAGCTCTGCCTCCTGGAATCAGAGGTCTTCGTTCTTTCTCAGGAAGGGATCCAAGCATCAAGTCCCAGAGCCATTCCTCAGGGACAGTCCCCAAACACAACAGAATCCTTTGTTCCTAAAACCTTTATTTAGCAACAGATTGCTCATTCTGCACCCAGTAACAGGAATTTTGAGTGATTTTGTGGTATGTAAATTACACCTTAATAAAGCTGTTTAAAAACAGAATAGTTACTAAGTTAACTTTAATCAAAGACAGAAATGGAGGTGTCTTACAGGTGGGTGGCTGTTGTGAGCCAAGGAAAGGGATGTGAAATAACAGTGACCCAGAGGGCCCTGAAGTTGATGGTGAATGAATCTTAGACTTAATTAACAGGTATGTTCAATTTAAAAGATGATGGAATTTTAGCTGTTTCCTTTGCTTTCTCCATATATTTTCTCCTTCCCTCCCTCCATCTTTCATCCCCCTTCTTCCTTTTCCTCCTCTCCTACTTCCTCAGCATCTGTTATTATTATTTTGGACTTACTTCTTGATGTGTGTGGAAACTTTCTAGTCTTTTTCAAGCTTCAGTTCCTAGAGATCATTCTTTGGTGGGCAGCATTAGAGGCCTGACGTAACATTGGGCATCTGTGAGCCTCACCTTCCGGCACTGAGAATTCAGAGTTTATGGACTCCCCTAAAATCATGAGAGGGAAATCTCATCTTCAGTGATGCAGCCCATGGTCCTGGATGTGAGAGAGTAGCTTGTCCCGAGTTCCCAAGGGCAAGACCACCAAGTCTCAGGTCAGCCCTTAGGTGGGATGCACAGGAACGGCTGAGCCCTTTACCAACTGAAGTCTCACTATGCTGTGTCCCCAAAGTTCCAAATCTGAGCTTTCTGGTCAGATTATTTGGTCTTGATCACCATTTTCTGCCTACTGGCATTTTTATAAAATAAAATTAATATTTAATTATTAATTATTTATTAGGCTTCCCAGAGAGGCAGAACCAGTAGAATAATTATGTGATGATACGAAAGGGAAATTGGCTGATGTAATTATGGATGCTAAGCAGACTGTCTGAAAGCTTGACACCCTGGAGTATAGGTTGCATGGTCCAGTCTGAGGCCAAGGCCTCACAATCAGGGAAGCCGGGAGTATAACTCTCATTCTGAGGCTGCAGGTTGAGAACCCCCCGGGAAGAGTACATTAAAGAGTCCAAAGGCTGGAAAGCTTGCAGTTCTGAAGTCAAGGACAGAAGTGTTCCAGTGTCAGGAAAGACTTCACTCCCCTTCCTCTGTTTTGAATTCAAGTTTTCCACCGTTGGATTGTGCCTGCCCACACTGAAGGCACATATCCTCACAGCGACTCAGCCACTCAGATATGGATCTCTTACAGTCCAAATTGTACTTTATGAGTTTCATGAATCCAGTTAGGGTGGCAGCCAAAGTCAACCACTAGTTACTACTGTAAATTTGTCTTTGTGTTATGCTTGTTTCTCCTACTCAGATCATTGATTTGTGTCATAACAAGCCATGGATGTTATTTTTTGAAAATCTTAGTTAAAAATGGAGAGGGTGTGTGTGTGGGGAGGTGATACACACACACACACACACACACACATATATATATATATATACATATATATATTTGTATATACTATCTTGGTTTCCTGTTAGTGGGTCACTCTCTGAAGGAAGGTCAGGGATATTCATGAATCCTTCTGCCTCTTACGTTGATGATGGGCTGCCTCCATTTACTGTTTTACATAGAAAACACATTTACTCGTTTTTCTTTGGGAGTATGGCCACTGGTAGACTGCCCATGCTCCAGTGAATGGTCCCATCCCTATAAGTGTAAGACAACACAAATTGGACTCAGTGGGTTATAAAAAGAAACAAACAAAAAAAACAAAAGAAAGAATATAAAAACATGAAAATATGGTGACCCCTGTCCTTAATTCCAGCATTTTTTGGAGGCTGGGGCATGTGGACCTGTCAGTTCTAAGCTAGCCTAGACTACATAGAAGTGTTAAGCTAACCAGACTACTTAGTATGATTCTATCTGAAAAAAAAAGAAAGAAAAAAGACATCTTTTTATAAGAAAATACCTACAATGTTCATTTTAGTAAGGTTCTAAAAGCTAATAGGTTGTAACAGTTTGTGAAAAAGCAACTATGTTACTTTTTCCTTGAAAACTGTCCCCACCTAAATGAAGTGAGATCCTGGAAGTTTCCCCTTAAAGATGAAGACACAGACCCAGTGTAGTGGCACAGACCTCTAATCCCAGCATTCACAAAGATGAGGCAAAGGGATTTTGAATCCAAGGTCAGCATGAGCTTCCTAGAGAGACCCTATCTCCAGAAACAAACAACAACAAAGATCCCCCAAACAAACAAAAAGACATAGGGCTCTTCTTAGCTCCTGTTTTCCTATCATTCATACACTTTTCAGAAGTTTTGAGTTGTTTCATTTTATTCTTATTCAGTAATGACATCAACTAAGATTATGGATTTCCCCCAACATCTGCCTTTGGAAGAATGAGGCCGTGCATTTGGAAGTGGTGATGGGGACAGCTGGCTCTATAACCCCAGGGATTTTGCAAGGGACTTGTACCTAAATGATTAGGTTAAATCCCTAGATAATAGGAATGGAGACATGGTCCAGCGGGTAAGAGCACTTGCTGCTCTTACAGAGCACCTGACTTCAGTCTCCAGCATGCATGTTGAGTGACTAACAACCACTTGTAACTCCAGCTCTAGGGGATCTAATGCCCTCTTCTAGCCTCCATGGGGACCTACATGCATTTGCACCCCCATATGTATTTATAAATAATGACAAAAAGCTGGAGACATAAACTAAAGGCACCCACATGGTACCTCACAACTGTCTGTGACTCCAGTTCCAGGTATTAGGATGCCCTCTTTTGAGTTCTGCAGGTACTAAGCACACATGTGGTATATACATGCAGACAAAACACTCATACACATAAAATTAAATACATTTTACAGAATTAAAAAATAAAAAACTAAATCTTAAAACCCTAAATGATTAGTTTTTAAAAATTGAGCATTAATTAATCACTTCTATTTTTCTTATGACAAAAGGATACATCCTGTGCATTTTCATGTAACATTGGAAGTTGTGGGGTTTTATGATTAAAAATAGATTTTACAAGTGTATTCAAAATCCCTTTGCCTCATCTTTGTGAATGCTGGGATTAGAGGTCTGTGCCACTACACTGGGCCTGTGTCTTCATCTTTTTTTTTTTTTTTTTTTTTTTTTTTTTTTTTTTTTTTTTTTTTTCGAGACAGGGTTTCTCTGCGTAGCTTTGCGCCTTTCCTGGAGCTCACTTGGTAGCCCAGGCTGGCCTCGAACTCACAAAGATCCGCCTGGCTCTGCCTCCCGAGTGCTGGGATTAAAGGCGTGCGCCACCACGCCCGGCATGTGTCTTCATCTTTAAGGAGAAACTTCCAGGATCTCACTTCATTTAGGTGGGGACAGTTTGCAAGGACTGCTTAAAGGTGTTCAAGCACTATATCCATTTCCTGTAGGAAATCAGCCAGCCAGCCTGAAGTTCATTTTCTGTGTTTATGTTCATTTTGGCTAAGTGTTTCTACCCAGTGCAGAGGGGTGGGAGGGATGTAGGGTAGGGAACTATGTTCCTGTACACTGTGGTTTCAAGGGACTAGAGAATGACTTGGCTGACCTTTCTCCCTTGGAGCTCTGTGTTGGGGAGACAATGGAGTCAGACACTATGGAAGGGAGCCTGGGCCTCACCATTGTATGGGGATGTGGATTGGCCAGGGACTTAGGTAGTGGTGAGAAAGACTCCTACCTCTCTCCAGTATGAATGGCCTCTCCTCTGCCCCACCTTGCCTCTCTGGGGGCTGCTGAAGGCTAAAGAGGGCAATGCAGGGCACTTCCATAGCATTCTGTATACATTGTCAGTTGCAGAAGGGCTTGGGATCTTTCAATCTAGTCAAGCAGGCTTCCTGTAAAATCTGATCTTTCTTTTTCTGTTCTTTTCAATAGTTCAAGACATATCTGGCTGGCCTTAAATGTACTACCCTGACTAAGCTATCCTTGAATGCACAGAGATCTGCCTACTTCTGCCTCCACAGTACTAGGATTAAAGGTGTGTACCACCATGTCTCTCCTAGAATATGATCTGGACCCTGGGGGACATTCTCCTGAATAGCTAGTCTGAGGGTTCTAGGCTGCTCAAGGAAACCTACTGAAAATGGGAGCCAGCCAGGGGTCCCTGGAGGATATCAGCTACACCACCAGACAGCAGATGGGTGTGGGAAAGGGATAGAGCCAGACACTAGCCCTGGGGAGATAAGAGACTAAGTCCCTGGTGCCCAGGGTCTCAGTCTAACCTTTCCAAGCCTCACTGTTCTGAGATCCCAGACTGTAGGATGGGTACAGATGGATGCTTAGCTGATGCAGGCCCAGAAGAGACCTGTCAGCTCCTGCCTGCTCCCACTGCCCCCAGAACTGCCTCGTGTCAGCTTGTCTTTTCTTGTCACCCATGCCGAGAGCTGTGAGAATGGGAACCAGGCGCTCCCAAACCAGGTCTTATTGGAATCTTGCTATCTGCTGAGCCTCTCTGTGGCCAAACTTCGGGACTCTGGTGTGTGTCAGTTCTAATGTGAGGCTTTGGCCAGGTGGTCTCCTCTCACCTCAGCTTTGCTGTGTATGAAATGGGCCTGAGCAGATCTTCTCTTCTTCCTCAGGATCAAGTGTGATGGTTACTGAAATTGGATATTGGAAAGAGTTACAGTGACATCAAGAACTGAGCAGTGGCAGAGAAAGCACCTGAGGACTTCATGGTCCTGGCTGGATGTCTTTGTGCATTCTTCTTGGCCTGTGGAAACTCCAGTTATCTCAGAATAGCCCCATCCAGGTGACCTCTGCTGAGAACAATCAGACAGCATTTAAATGGATCTGTGTAGTATTAGATAGACCTGGACCTCTGACCTCCAGAGAATTCCTTACCTCTGCCAACCTCATGTTCTTCACATGGGAACTAGGTCATCCTTTGGAGGGGATATGTGGGCTGTGAGTGGTGAACAGCTGGGAGTACTGGGTATGGTGGCAGATGTATACAGGACTATGTTGTGATGTCAGGTGACCATTTTATCAGTTCCCAAGCAGTGGGTAGCCCCCTAGGGGGTAGAATCCCCCAGACTATCTTTCCCTAAAGTTTGGAATGATGCTCAGTGGGCTTCTTTCCGGAAGTGCTGTGGGGAAGCAATGACTACTGGGAATGATTTTAGGTTTTTTTTTTTTTTTTAACTACTTTTTCTTCCTTTTTGAGACATTTCCACAAATCTCTCCTGATGCCAACCTCTCCACTCTTTTTCACAGTCACCTGTAGCCCTTGGTTTATCACAGTCCTTGTTCAGGTCCTTCCCAGAGCAGTAAATTCGCTGTGGGAGCTCAGTCTGTGAAACTCCCTGATGGTTAATCATTTCCCCTGCTCTTCTGTGAAGCCCTTACTCACCTTCAAGACCCTCCCTAGCCCTGGAAATAAATCAGATTATCTCCCTCTCATATGAAGGCAACTATTATTTTCCTTGGGGTTGTTCCTTGTGGAATGGGGTAGAAAACAGCAGGGCTAGCTCAGCTGGGAGCTGAACCCTGCAGTGAAGTCCAGGGTGGCTTCAGCACAGCCTTGTAGCCCTCACCTGGAGAAGTCCCAGGTTGCAGACTCTGATTTGTCTATGAGCAATTAAAAAATCCTTTTTATTCTTTTTTTATTTAAACAAATTATTTGTATATATAGATATTTTGCCTGGAGCTATATGTATATCTGGTGCTGGCAAAAGCCAGAAAAGGGTATCAGATCCTCTTTAATTGGAATTACAGATGTTTTGAGCAGCTATGTGGAAGGGCATGTAGCTATTTGGAAGAGCAGCCAGTGCTCTTAATCTCCGAGCCATCTCTCCACTCCTAAAATCCTTTTTAAATTAGTATATACTCATTGTAAAAAAAAAAAAAAAAAAAAAAAAGTAATGGGTTCCATTATGAAATTTTCTTTTAAAAAGATTTATTTTTATTTTATATATATACATATATATATGTGTGTATATATATATATATTAATGCTTTGCATGCATATATGCATGTGCATCACATGTGTGCAGTGCTCCCAGAGGCCAGATTCCCTGGAACCGAAGACATCCATGAGTTCCCATTTGAGTGATGGGAACTGACCTGAGTCCTCTGCAACAGCAGTAAGGGCTCTTAATCACTGAGCCATCTCTCCAGACCCTCATTATGACATTTCATACATGTATATTATGCACTTTGATCATAGTCAAACCCTTATCACACTCTCTCTAGTTCTTTCCTTCTACTTTTGTGCTCACCCTCTCCACTTTTTAAATATAGGTTCCACAGTGAGGTAACTAACCATTCAATGTTTGTCTGAGTCTAGTTTATTTCATTTAACATGATGGTCTCTGGTTCTTTATGGTAGATAAAATTCCATTGTGTGCATACACCTCATTGTCTTTCTCCACCCATCTGTTGATGGACAACCAGACATCTTGGTTATAGCGGACAGTTCTGGAGGAGTAAGGCAGAGTGCAAGTGGGCCAGTTTCTTCCTGATTGAGGTTGATGGCTAAACTTTGGGTCCTGAGGGTGATAGCCTGTGGCTGTCTCTTTGTGGGTCTCCACTGGGCTGAGACTGCAAAAATCATTTTCCACCTTGAATGGAATCTCTGTGGTATGGCAGGGTCATCTGAAGTTCTGTTTTTAGGTTTTTTGAGGAATCTCCATAATGATTTCCATAATGGCTGAGCCAGTTTATAACCTACCATTGGGTTGCTGTGGTACAGAAAAAGCCTGTTTCTACTCTGGTGATCAAATGGGCGAACAACCTAACTGTCATGATAGAACTCTCATCTAGTGTCTGATGGAAGCAGATGCAGAGATCTAAGGCCAAGCCCCAGGTGGAGCTCCAAGAGTCCAATCTATGAGAGAGAGGGGGGATTGTATGAGCAAGAGATATCGAGACCATGATTGAAGAGAGCATGGGGACAACTAGCCAAACTAGTGGAAACACATGAACTATGAACCAATAACTAAGGAACCCCCATGGAACTGGACCAGGCCCTCTAGATAAATGAGACAGTTGTTTAGCTTGAACTGTTTAGGGGGACACCCGGCAGTGGGACTAGGACCTGTCCTTTGTGCATGAGTTGGCTTTTGGGAACCTAGTGCCTACGCTGAGACACTTTGCTCAGCCTTGGTGCAGGGAGGAGGGGATTGGACATGCCTCAACTGAATCTGCCAGGCTGAGCTGACTCCCCAGGGGAGACCTTGCCTTGGAGAAGGTGGGAATAGGAGGTGGATTTGGGGAGGGGAGACTGGGGGTGAGGGGAGGGAGGACAGGGGATTTGTGGCTGATACGTAAAATTAAATTAATTATAAAATAAAATATTAAAAAAAAGAAAAAGAAAAATGTTACCCAGGAAGAGCTTAACAATGTCCTGGCTGTTATTGGGTTCATGGGAAGATGAGACCCAGGGCCACAGAGGATGACAGAGCTGACGCTGTAGCCAAGCCCTGAGAAGGACAGTGAAGAAGGATCAGTGGTCTTGACCCCTAGTGTGGTATCTCTCTGAGTGACAAGACACACATACCTGATCTCAGACCTGAGAGCCTAGGTGGTGCTATGTCCAGAATCCTCTGGGACACAGATCTGTTCTCTCTCTCTCTCTCTCTCTCTCTCTCTCTCTCTGTGTGTGTGTGTGTGTGTGTGTGTGTGTGTGTGTGTGTCCACAAAGAGCTCTTTCATCTCCTTAGGTGCTCTGTGGACAGGATTTGGTTGGGGACTCAGAAAAGTTCACCCCTCTCTAAATCCTCAACCAGAATCTGCCCGCCTAGAATCCACATGAAAGGATCTGGGGTGTGGCTCAGCGGTGGAACACTTGCCTAGCCCCACTGACACACACACACACACCTTGGTCTAGCCCCCATTTCAGAAGCTTAATTCTCTGTCCTTACAAGAAAGCCCTGTGACTTGCATGGAGAGTTTGTGCAGCCTCTGGGGGATGGGCTGCTGTCTGCATCCATGAGGACAGCTCGGTTGTAAGAATATAATTTTAGAATCCAGTCTCTGCTAAGGCCATACTATCTACAGTAGTCTCTTCTCACAGATCCCAACAGGCTCCCTACTGAGACATTGTTTGTGAGTCCCTAGCTGACAGACTCTCAGGTTCTAGGATCTCTAGCCTGAGAAGTGACTTTACATCATAAGGGTGTTGGTGGCCTGGCTTCAGGCTTGTGCTGTGAAATCTCCTCCACTCTCAAAAGGTATAAAAACGGGGTGGGGGGTGGGTGGGAAGACCCAACTTCTGGGCTTTAACTCTTCTCTCCAGAATGTCACTGTGCTATCCGTCTGTCTCTGGCTCTAAGGCCTAAACTCTCCTCAGAAAATCCCATTGTGCTGTTGCCTCTCTGTCTGTCTACGGCATTAATGAGTCTTCTAATGAACTCCTTACTCCCCAGTAATCTTTCTCCGTGTCCCTCTTGACCTCCCCCTCCTGAAACCTATCACTCACTCCACAGTGGCTGCTGACTTTCAGGCTAAGCCAGGAGGGACGCAAAGTACCATACTTCATGGTAGTCTCAAGGAGGTGCAAGCCAATGGCTTTGGCTTTATCACAAGTGTCTGCCATGCAGAAAAGATAGGACAAATGTGTTGTTGTTATAGCATGATTGCTTGATTTCAGAACTCAGACATCCAGGCAGCTCAGAGACCAAATGATATCCCCGAGTTTAAGCACCACCTGCAGACATGTTTACTCTTATCCAGGGAGTGCCGAAACCTTAAATAATTGCAACTATTAAAGGATTTAGACGCGTGCGTGCGTGCGTGCGTGCGTGCGTGCGTGCGTGCGTGTGTGTGTGTGTGTGTTGTGTTGTGTTGTGTACAATAAAAAACAAAAGCAAAAAAACAAAAAAAAATCCAGGTTTTTAAAAGCTGTCCAGTGGGATTGAAAATGAAATTAGTTGGGCTAAGGTCTGGGATTGTCAGTTTACTGGTACTTGGAATGCTGGCCAGAAACTTCCCACCTTCTTTTGGGAGCACCTCAGTTTTGTTTGAGTTTAGAGATCCACAGGGTTTCCTGGAGTCTTTTCCCACTTGCTGGAATAGCTGCCCTGGGATTGCCTCCTGCCTAGATCTTAAGAGGGTCCCTGCTGCTCAGAGAACTGTGTGTTTTTCCTGATGGCATAAAATATGTCTAGTGCAGAGCTGGCCCCTACACATCCTATCCTGGAAACAGAGTTAAGAGCAAGCAGGAAGGCTGATGGAACAAAACAAGGCCTTTCTCTGCTGGTTCATTTTGGTCTTTCAAAGGTCCTTAAACTTGTATGTATCCTTAAATACCCCATAATTAAGCTCTGGAAGTGGGAGGTTGAAGGATGGGGCCACATAAAGAATCCTGCAGCTTTTCTTACATAACCCTCAACCAATGAGTGGGATTGGAGGACCCTCTCAAGAGGCAGGGTGCTCAGCATCTTGTCTCCAAGAGGCCCTGCCAGGACACAACTTTAGGAGCTGCTTGATTCTATTTGTGGGTTTTAGATTTCAAGTAAGCCTGCCTGAGATGGTCTCTCAGTGCGGTGACTCCTCCCCTTGAGTAGTTGGGTATCTTGTTCCAAGCAAATCAACTCCTCTGAGGCTCCAGTTTCTCCAGTTGTGAGGACACAAGACTGTTAAGAGTTCCACGCCTTCTAGAACATCAATTGCCAGTGTTAAATTTTACTTTCTTTGGTTGTGGTGAGAATGGAACTGGGACCTTGAAATTACAAGTGTTCTGCACTGAGTCAGGACCCCAGCTCCTCACTGGTGGATCTAGACAAGCACTCTGCACCACACTCCAGTCCT